ATGTGCGTGTGCGTGGGTGTGTGTTCATGTGTGTGTGTGTGTGTGTGTGTGTGTGTGTGTGTGTGTGTGTGTGTGCGTGTGTGTGTGTGTGTGTGAATTTTTTCGTTATCTTCGCTGATGATATGTAGCTATGTTACGCTATCAATGTTAGTGTTATGTTGTTGATGTTATTATAGTTGCTATTGCTGTTGGTTAAATAAATTTAAACAATTTTAGACTGAATTTATTTATTAATACGGGAAATAATTTGTTAAATTCTTTCAAATTAAAAATATGCAGTATTCATTTGTCATGTTACGATGTGTGGTGTTTAGTTAATATAATTGAAAGTATATCACTGCGTTAGTTAACATAGGTATATATATAATTAAATTAAACTAATAATTAAATTAAATTTATTTAAATCGAAATAAATAAAAAGTAACTTACATTACAGAGAACAACATGCCAGAAAAAATGTTTTTTCGAGGACGAACGATCAAATAAGCATTCGATTTTTGAACTAATAAATTGCCTTAGTATAATTATTTTATTATTATGATTAATATAACTATTAATATAATTATTAATATAATTAATAATTTAATTATTCTTCCTGTTACTTGTTATTTATTATGATTATTAACTATTTTTATTTTTATAAATTCCTCTCAGAGCATCTCTCTCAACTTTTAAAGTGGGCACACACATTAGCCTAGAAGACCAAATTTATATCATCACTCTCACTCTTGTTATCTCTCTCTCTCTCTCTTCTGTCTGTCTCTCTCTCTCTCTCACTTTTTCTCTCTCTCATCCTTCTAACATTTTGGGTTAATTTTTTGATTCGAATTATGACTTTGACTTAATTTTCAAGAAATAGTATATCATTTGTAACAGGTTAGAGATATGAGTGGATTAATTCATTCAACTTTATCGAAAAATAATGTCCAATTTCTGTCATCAGTTCATATATCAATCAGGGAACCCACAACTACATGGCGAAATTGGTAGATTTATTGTTATGCATCTTACTGTACATAACTATATTTCGAATTTTTGGAATGTGGTGCTGATATAAGCTAGTAGTTTATTTTTTTACAAGATTCAATTAGTACTCAATTTCCCAAGCATGAAAATGTTTTAATTTCGTAATGGAAATCTCGACGTTTTGATATGTAGTTACTTGAATCAACCGAACAGTCATTTTTTGGTACCAGGCACTAACTCAAGTGCGATAAGAAGGCATCGCATAAGCATTGCAATTGGGTATATAAAAATGAAGCCTATATTTTAAAAAGCAAAACGTTTAAAGAGAGTTTTGATGTAAAGTTGAAAAAAATTAAGTAAAAAAACGATTTTATAAGTATACGGATCAGATGGTCTGGTTCGTCAAATGCCATGTCTGCTTGGTGGTTGTTGCATTGGTGTTCCATAGATATAAATGGTTATTACTATCAAAACGCGCCCACTTTCTCTTTAAAAAATGCCAATAAATTAAAAATAAACTCAACAAATTGCTTCCAAAGTTAAGATTTCTCATTAAATTCAGTTTAGTTATTTCACATATCGCGATTAAATAAAAGTTTGATAGTATTAATAATTTGAAATATTTCTCCGTAATTGTGTCTTTCATATTTATCACTAATCTACGTTGTTGTTAAAAAAAACAAAGCAAAATTTTTTCACTTTGAAAAACTTGAAACGTATTTGCTTGCCACTCTAATCTAATCCTTTGTCGTCTGCTGAATAGATCATGGTGGAGCCTATTTTTGATTACCAGTTTCGACTAATCCTGATTGGGGACAGCACGGTGGGAAAGTCATCCCTTCTGAAGTATTTCACTGAAGGTAGATACGAAGAAAATTGTGACCCGACAGTAGGTGTTGACTTCTTTGCACGTCTTCTAGAAGTTAATCCGGGCCTCAAAGTCAAACTTCAAGTCTGGGACACTGCCGGCCAGGAACGATTTCGGTAACTTCTGAAGTTTTTCCTTTTACTGACTAAACATACGTCATACATACAATACATTAATAAAATAACTAAAAACATATATTTATATTACATATATCATTAAAACATCAGTGTTTTTAGTGTTTCTGGTATACTAATTTATTAATTAATAAGTGAATTTATATTCTTTTTATACTAATTCTAACTCATTTATCATTTAAGCTTGAATAACAAAAACATCTTTTATAAATTATTCATATTAAAATAAAACATAATATCAAAAGTTATGTATTTTTGCTTGATAACAGATCAATCACAAAGTCCTATTATCGAAACTCTGTCGGTGTGCTGTTAATATACGACATCACAAAACGATCAACATTTGATCACATCGGGGACTGGCTGAACGAGGTTCGAGTGCACATCGAGCCACAACGA